CTCCTCGATCCGATACTGTCGAAGTGTAGAGTTACTTTGGGACGTGGAAGATAGCGAAACGAGCATGTGTTTATATTACAGCATCGATAGTGCACGAAACAGCGTGGCGAAGGAGATACGCGAACTTATCAGGGATATGTTTTGTCTGTGCGAAATCTGCCAGTCGGTGAAACGAGTCAGTCGTATATGGATGATTAGCGAGCGATGTTGAAGTTGAGATTCAAAAAATTGCTATGGGACAGCGAATAAACGATCCAGTTGAGAAAAAGGCGTGCAAAAAATCTACGCTTCGCGTGTACTTTTTACGTACCAATTAGTACTTTACGAAGATTTTATCGAAGTTCGCTTAAGCTTTGCAATTTTATGCATTGAAAGAGTTTGATATTTCGAAAATGGCGCTAACTCGATGACACGTGACCGCAGCAATTTCGCGGCATACTGAAAGACAATTTCAACGGTTTCCTTTTTCGTCGCGGCATACCCACCGAAAACTGCAGTTTCGGATGCGGCGGCTCGGTAATGGCAGACACGCGGAATTAGCGAATACCGAGCGTAATGAAAATAGGGCACGCAACATGTCGCAAATAGTTTGTTGTTCCGGATGCAGGCGCGGTAATACCGGCGAAAGGGAATCGCAAACGAGAAGACCGATACGCGCTACATGCACGGCACAAAGCAATGCTAACATTGATATCCCCCCGGATCCTGGGACGCGGGCTTAAGGCACTTAGCCTTCGCGAATTCCGCTTAGTTGGAAAATTGTTTGCCAATTTTCTCTGACCCATTTTCAAGTGGTCCATTCTTTAAAACGATATCAAACGGTCCGCTCCTCTCCGCTTGAGAACGAGCCAAACATTATGTTGCTCAAAGCCAACGTAAAACTAAAATGCCCGGCTCTTATCCGACGCCCGACATTGCTGAACGAATATCTCGCCGCAAGAATTTAGACGCAGGAAAGTTGCCGGCTCTCGCGTGTCAACCTGCGTAAACGAGACTGCATTTCGTTCGAAAACGTATTCGCAACCTCGGCGATTGTGAAGTAACTATGAAAGCACGCCCGTGACCATTAAAGTACAAGATCATGTACTTAAAAAAGAAATGCGAATAGCATTTTTATTTTACTTCTACATAGAATTTCTATTTGGGGAACTTCTTCTTTGTCGCGCTCTTTGGGAAGTGAGGCGTGAAAAGTGAATATTTGCATTAAGATCGAAACGAAGCGCAGCGATTAATCCTTTTCACTCCTCGCCGCGCTTTAACGAGTCACACTGGTGACGGAGATTTTTGATTATCGGCTGTCAGGTATGAACTTCGTTCTGTTTCATTGATCGTAAATACACTATAAATTATAAAGTTTCTTAAATTGTCCATTTTTGTGGACAATCTGAGCGTCAATTAGAGAGACATTAATGTACAGTAAACTCTTTCCAATTGACGCTCAGATTGTGCACAAAAATGGACAATTTGAAAAGAATTATAAATATATAAAACAACCGTAAAAACTTTGACTGTAAATACCCTATGAATTATGAAATTTCTTTTTCTTCGGAGAAATTGTTGCGATCGAAAAGATCTTAGTCGTTGCAATCGTAGAGAGGATGATACGGGAAGGGATTAAGCTTGGATTAAAGTGAGGAAATATCGTTGAAAAGATAGCTACTTTTTACATTAGTTTTATGACTTTCTATGTTCATATTATACCATTCAGATTAGATTAACCCTTTGCACTCGGATCACTAACTCTGCCAACCCCTAAACGCGACTAACGTGCATCGCTTTAAAACAGTGCCAAGATTGGATTTATTTAAACATTGTACGACTTCTATTATAATATACGCTTCAATAAAAAAAAGGGTACCCAAAAATTTCTGCCAGAAATATTTAATTATAATAGCAGGAATTGTAAACGAACAAAATCAGAAATCAGTCATTCTGACTGGTTTGGTAGTTCTAGCGTTAATCTGCCAATTCAGGACCACAGAGTGGACCTTCCTGGATAGGGTTGCTTTTATAGGGTTGTTTTTATGCCCCATGCACTATGTCGTGTTCTATGTATGTATGTATTGCTAACGGTTCGGTCGGTCCGTCCGAACAGCTAAATATAACTTCATCAATTTCTCGAATCCAACAGCACCCTTTGGTAGACATATTTTCGAAAGTGTGTCCTTTCAGATAATAAAATAAACGAATCGATTTTTTGAAGGTTCTAGACTGGAATAGCCCCTTAGGTGTTCAGTCCGTTCGCGGTGCCATGATTTTTCCGTGATATTAATATACGAATACAGTAAATATAGTAAATAATACAGTAAATAATACAGTAAATTCTCCCCGATTCGCGCTCAGATTGCGCAGAAAAATGGACAATTTGGGAAGAGAAGATGCTATAATAGAAAGAAAAGATAATATTATTCGAGCCTTGCGCCTCGTTTTTATAGCTGTCGACAATCGGTAACTATAAAAACGAGAGACGCAAGGCTCGAATAATATTATCTCCTCTTCCTATTACAGTAAATAATAATACAGTAAATAATAAATACAGTAAATAATACAGTAAATTCTCCCCGATTCGCGCTCTGTTTGCGCAGAAAAAGGGACAATTTGGGAAGAGAAGATGCTATTATAGAAAGAGAAGATAATATTATTCGAGCCTTGCCCCTCGTTTTTATAGCTGTCGACAATCGGTAACTATAAAAACGAAGCGCAAGGCTCGAATAATATTATCTCCTCTTCCTATTATAGTAAATAATAATACAGTAAATAATAAATACAGTAAATAATACAGTAAATTCCCCCCGATTCGCGCTCAGATTGCGCAGAAAAATGGACAATTTGGGAAGAGAAGATGCTATTATAGAAAGAGAAGATAATATTATTTGAGCCTTGCGCCTCTCGTTTTTATAACTGTCGACAATCGGTAACTATAAAAACGAGACGCGAGGCTCGAATAATATTATCTCCTCTTCCTATTACAGTATCTTCTCTTCCCAAATTGTCCATTTTCCAGAATAATCACTGAAAGATTACCGCAATACCAGAAAATTCGCGGCCGCGTTTGCGGTTTGTCTTCAGGAAAAAGAAACCCGTTCCCGGGATACAACGATAGTCGGAATAGCTATGCGCTCCGCCCAATGCAGCAAATGTTATCAGTCTAGAGTCTAGAGTGATTGTGTGGCGTGATGGACAGTTATTATAACCGATGGGGCGCACGTCAGGCTGCTTCTTTCGCGAAACGGGGTTCCTATAGCGGGTCGAGATTTATTTCGCCGAGATTCGACGCCGAACGGAATCGCTTGCTCGCGCGGTTCTAAACACCGACGGCGCGCGTTGACGTGGCCGACGATTGTAAAGTTAACTTAATTGTTATCGATTCGGCGCGTACGGGCGCAAGAGCAACGCGGCGCACGAAAAACTGTGTGCGCCGTTTTCTCTTTTTTTTTCCAAACGTCGGATATTCGAGACGACGGCGTTTCGGGCGGCGAAGCGGAGCCGAAACAGGGATGCGCTCGAAAACCCGGCGAACTCGGTGCACGCGGGGGCACCATGCCGCTTCTACGAATCGCGTAACTCGAGGACCACAAAATTGGAGTAATTAAACAAAAATCTGTTGCAGCCGTTGAACGGTTCGCGAGAATTAAAAATAGATTAAAAGCTCTGTTGAACCGCGCTCGACTTTTTTCCATGCTGCTCTAGGCTCTCGGGGCGTCGTGTTCGCACATGCTGTAAATGCATGAAATTCGCAGACTAGTGATAACCTAGTTTTCTAATTCCATCCTCAAAGAACTGGAAAGGAGTTTCTTTAAACCATCGCCGTATAGCTCGAAGCCGCAATAGGATAACACGGCTGTTATACACGTCGCGTTTCACTATAGATACCATCAATGATTTAAATTATTCGCCCGTCCACCCTACTTACCAGATCTCGCCTCGAATCGTTGTTTCTTGTGTCTTACCCGAACTGAAATGTCCGCAAACACGTGGCCAGTTTTCCGACAGCTTTTTAACAATTCAAATGTAATCGGCGGGAATAATGAGAAGAACGTCGTGCCCGGCAAAAGAAGCGGCTCGTTTCTTTCATTCACCGAAAGACGCTCCGCGATAAACGTAACATCGAAGCATTCTCCAATATTTTTGCTCGCTCGATTTCGCGTGTTTCACGTAGATGCGTGAAAACGCGTAATTTGTCTGAAGTCTAGTAATAAATGATGAACCGAAAATATAAACTAACAGAAACTAAAAGGTCTAGTAATTTGTTTCTACATAGTCTTATTATCATTTCTTATTATTATTCATCAGTTTTCATAATTTTCTGTGTAATTTGTCCGAAGTCTAGTAATAAATGATAAACCGAAAATATAAACTAATAGAAACTAAAAGGTCTAGTAATTTGTTTCTACATAGTCTTATTATCATTTCTCATTATTATTCATCAGTTTCCATAATTTTCTGCGTAATTTGTCCGAAGTCTAGTAATAAATGATAAACCGAAAATATAAACTAATAGAAACTAAAAGGTCTAGTAATTTGTTTCTACATAGTCTTATTATCATTTCTCATTATTATTCATCAGTTTCCATAATTTTCTGCGTAATTTGTCCGAAGTCTAGTAATAAATGATAAACCGAAAATATAAACTAATAGAAACTAAAAGGTCTAGTAATTTGTTTCTACATAGTCTTATCATCATTTCTTATTATTATTCATCAGTTTCCATAATTTTCTGCGTAATTTGTCCGAAGTCTAGTAATAAATGATAAACCGAAAATATAAACTAATAGAAACTAAAAGGTCTAGTAATTTGTTTCTACATAGTCTTATTATCATTTCTTATTATTATTCATCAGTTTCCATAATTTTCTGCGTAATTTGTCCGAAGTCTAGTAATAAATGATAAACCGAAAATATAAACTAATAGAAACTAAAAGGTCTAGTAATTTGTTTCTACATAGTCTTATCATCATTTCTTATTATTATTCACTAGTTTTCATAATTTTCTGTTCCAGAATTTGGGAGCTTTCACCGTGCAAAACAAAGGAGGCACTGAAATTATGATTACAACCGGAAATTTATTAACACGGTTGGGACAATTGGGAAAAGGAGCTACAATTATTCGAGCCTTGCGGCTCGTTTTTACAATCACCGATTGTTGCAACAACTATAAAAACGAGACGCAAGAATAATCGAATCCCCTCCTCCCGAATTGTCCATTTTTGCGCGGAATCTGAGCGCGAATTAGAGAGAAATTACTGTATTTGCGCTTTCCTCCCGAGAAACTTTGATCTCGGGGAACATTATCGAACAAGTTCCGAGAAAACGTCTGCGAGAAAGGGCGAAAAAAGCTAATTGGAGCCGATTGTCTGGCTAAATCGCTCGGGGTATAATTCTACTTGGCATGTGGTCTGGTAGGTTAAAAATTTACGGCATTGCCGGTAGGAGCTACCCTGGAACCGAGAGGAGTCGCATTGAAAAGTCAGCAGGGCCCTGGGAAACAGTGCTGCAATACGCGAACTTCGATACCTATGAAATTGTTACGCCCCAATTGTTGTCGTGAAAAAGCAATCACGTCAAAGATTTAGTAAACACGCCCATATATATATATATATATGTATATATCGCTACGTCGATAAAATGCATCTGCTCTATCGTTTAATTGCGATCAAATTCTTACGAAAATAATCGAATATACACTCGAGTCCAGCAGTTTCATAATTTGCGATCGTTTTTCGATACGTTCGATCACACGCGCCGACAGAATTGAACCAGGCATGCGAAAAGATAGTTATGCTTCGCTTAAAATGGTAGCGCAGCCCTTTTAAAATTGCATTTCACTTGCTGGATACTAAAAATATCAAACTGTTCTGTTCCTTTCTCGAAAACTAAATCTGCCTGCCTCCTCCATGAACTAAAAACAAAAGTTAAGCGCTATCAGAAATGATGGTTGCATGATCTTTAAATTTTACTTCTGCTGCTGAATAAAATGCTTCGGGTACAATACGATTAAAATATTATATATATATATATAATATAATAATATTGATATGATATACTATATTATAATAATATATCGTATATAATATATATCATATATTATATTATAATAATATATAATATAATATATCAGGAGAAGATATTTTAATCGTATTGTACCCGAAGCATTTTATTCAGCAGCAGAAGTAAAATTTAAAGATCATGCAACCATCATTTCTGATAGCGCTTAACTTTTGTTTTTAGTTCAAGGAGGAGGCAGGCAGATTTAGTTAGAGAAAGGAACAGAACAGTTTATATATTATCTCCCTATAGTCCTGTTTTATGATCTATTTTATAGAGCCGTGTTGCTCGATCTCGGTCGGACAGAATTCGATGTTTTAAACAATATTCGAAACGGTTTTCTTTCGTGAAACTTTGGCCGATAGAGAACGGTGTACAGCTGTCGCCGCGTCCGTATGCGATATTGGTACACCGCTTACGTACATTACTCTGATAACGCGCTAGATGCACTTGGACAAACTATGGACAAACTATCGCCAGATATGCACTAGGCATTTGCAGTCCGTGCGGATGTTTTTCAGCGCGATACATCGATATAACCGACCGAAACACGGATATTAGGTCGTCCACTGAATAGATATTTGCGTTTATTTCATAAGAATTTGTTGCACGATTATGTTATTATTCGTTTAATTATCTTGCATCTCTTTCGTCGAAATATGCAAATAATTACCTTTGGAATCTATCCAATCTTTATTATCCAGTCTTTTATTAATAATATTAATATTAATATTAATCTTTATTATCCAGTCTCTTTTATTAATAATATTAATATTAATATTAATCTTTTTATTATCCTATCTTTATAATCCCGTCTTTATTAGAATCATTGCAAACGTTTCCTGTAAAATTTTCGTGCAATTCCAATACCGTGAAGAAACCGCGTATATCGAAGATACTTTTTTCCTCGACCGATATCTTTTTTGAAAGATAAGTCATTCGAAACGGATACAAATAGTCATAATTAACTTTTCGCGTTAAAAATAAACTGTTTCACGAATGACGTAAATAATTGTATATCCATATTTGGGGCGAATATCATTTTATTCTCTTAATTTTCCTCTCTTAATTTGTATATCGGAAAAGCTCCTCCGTAAATAATATCGGTTTCAAACCGCACGGATGACCTACATATTAATTAACTTGATAATTTACTCTAAAAAACAAACAGAAATCAATCTTTATATTTATTTGTGTTTTCTTGTTATCAAGCTAGAAACTGAAACGCTGTTGAACTAGGTCCAATATTTGTTGCACGAATTATAATAGAATTTATATTATAAATTGAAGCAAGCATGAAAACTGGAGAAGATATTTTTCGAAACAGAAATCTCAATCTTTATATTTATTTGTGTTTTCTTGTTACCAACCTAGAAACTGAAACGCTGTTGAACTACGTCCAATATTTGTTACACGAATTATAATATATAATATAATATATAATATAATATATAATATATAATAATATTATATAATAATATAATATGTAATAATATAATAGAATTTATGCCATAAATTGAAACAAGCATAGAAACTGCAGAAGATATTTTTCGAAGTTACTAATTTCAGAAAAGGAGAAACAATGATTTACTGTCGCTTCTGCTTCTGAGCTTGATATTAAGGGATCGTTTTCGGGGAAAGTCTTGAGCCGCAGAAAAAAAAACACCGGAAACAAACGATCGCGAACGCCGATAATTCTGCATAATCCACCAGGGATTAATCGTTTCGCGCCGATTTCATTCGACGCTAAAACTTATACTCGAGAGAACATTTAAATAAAATACGACGGTGTATAGCATATTGATTGTATGCGCATGTTTCCGAAGACAACAATGACATTACGGTATCGCACGGCAATGACAACATCGGCAACTGTACTAATATACGTTTAGTTTAACAGAGAGATAAGTACGACTTTTAATGAGACAGCTCCTCGTCACACAACATATACAACGATGGATTTCGATCAAGCGTAAAAATAAACTGAAATAAGTTTTATAGATTTTTCGCAGAACCTCGTTCTCAATATATACACATGTTTCCAACGTATTCGCGCTTTCGTAAACGTAACAAACAAATATTCATGGTAATCGGTTAAATGTGTAACAATGTTTTATCACTGACCTTCTTCGCTTGAAAATGTTCCGGCCGTGAGTTTTCGACGATTTCCTGATCAGGTTTGACGGGCTGAGGTACCGACGATCGGAACCCGTCGAACACACCTTTAATTGTGAACTTCTTCATTACGGACCGAAGATAACACCTAAAGGATCACATGTGCAGCAGCGACACGAATTCAACTCTCCCTAAAGTTCCGTGCGTGCAACGAAATGTATCGGGTGGTTTCTCGGTTCGGCGTGTCCGATCGACAAAACGTAAATAGAAATTTTAGCAACGGCAAAGAGTTTCTGTCACGTTCTATCTACGTGTTAATTCTTTCACGGAAAACTACCGATGACATCTTCCCGTATCAATGGCAAATGTCACTCATCGATATTTCAGTCTTAGGGGATCTCCTCTACATTTTGACAGAAGAACGATGACGTCGACGAGACACGGCACATCTCGATAACGCGGTGTCCTCGTGGAAATAAAGACGCACGCGTTACCGCGTAACCGATTGACGAACGCGTTTTTCCAAACGCTTCGTGACTAGAATTGTTTTCGTACTTGACAGCAATGCAGTGTTGTTTAACCGTGTCAGGATCAATAACTGGCAACAGGCTCATGTGGACTCTCGCACGACCGCGAACGTACTCTGTGCGCAATCGTGGGCAAAACTTTATGGCAGATTTTTATGCCAGGTTCTTACGGTTCGAAAGATGGCGGACATGCAATATGTAACCATTTTAGGGATATTCGCGTGCTGCCCATTCGCTCGACGGTATAGTGACTTTTGTGAATTTTTTTTAATAATCGGTAGTTTTCATATTGTTACATCTTTATTCGTATTTACCGTATACAAAACGACTTAACGTTACATGAAGTTATGCGATTTTAAATAGCGTTCACGTTTATACGAGGAAAATAAATTATATACTAGATTGTGTATAAATTGTGATGCATTTGTTATAACTTTTAAGTAGTAGATGTTGTTACTACTCTGTGCAATTTATCCATGTAGCTAATGATATTTACTTCGCCAATCATAAATTGAGAAGAATCTAGTATCTTTTGGCCACATTTCTGCAACATTGCCAATATTTCGAACATATATACCTGGAGGCAGCATCTACTATTGCTGCATATGCAATCAGTTTGTAGAATGTGATAGACTTAAATTCAGTACAACCTCTTACTCTATTATTCAGAATCGAACAAAGAAGTTTTAGAATCTTGTACCTACATGCTATTTTTCTATTAATTTTCTTCTTAAATATAATTTCATTTATTTATTAATATTTATTTTAATATAATATGTATAATTATAGTATATATATAATTTAGTATAATTATTTAATATAATTTAATATAATATATTTAATATAATTAAATAAGGTAAACATAATAATAAGTAGATGTTACTACCAAGATATATATGCTCCAAGCAGTATGTACTATGTATTTTGTACCTTGAATTAGTCCACGGTGTATTCTTCTTACACCATGATCGAACTATCTTTTTTCTTATATTCTTTCTTCTAAATTAGCCTTAAGTTTCCAATCACACCATACGCTAACTATTGCCGACGTAACAATGTCAATCGCATGTTTTACTGGAGCGCGCAATTTCTGAAAATTGAAGTTTCATATTAAAAAATTATCTCTATGTTTAATTTATTCTAACGTTTCTTAAATAATTATCTTAAATAGCGTGCAATAATTGTACGAAGAAATAATAGCTTTTATAAGTTTGAAACTAGCGATATGATACATACAATCGTTTCTGCAAACAATGGGGTCATTTTTGGTAGCAAAAACGACTTAAAAAAGCAAAATAACAAATAATATTTCGTTTACTTTATTCTACCATCATTATTATTCAAACTGATATTCAAATAAATAAATTTCATATCCTTCTCCCACCTTCACTGCTGACGTTAACTTACAGTCATGTTGGGTTACTTTCTCGAGACTATACCAATTAGTAAATAATATTGTAATAATGCCCAAGAAGTAGTACATAAGTTTTAATTTTATTCTTACAAGGAATATAATTAAAAGTAAGTACATATAACCAATACGTCACAAAATGGCAACTGCTTTAAATTCTTCGAAGGATGAAGCACAAATTAAAACACAAGGTTAGATTACATATTGTTTTATGATTCACCACTCGTAAACATCTGCGTTACTATAAATGTACTAGTAGAGAACGATCGTAAGAAAAATGTTATATATACGTATTTGAAAGAAATTACACTGAACATATTTAAAATGATTTTACTCAAAAATTAAATTGGAAAGAAATATCATCAGCATTACAATATACACATAATACGTATAATTTTAGTTTTCTTGTAATGACACTGGTATGAAAGTATCAATATTTTGTAATCTTAATTTAAGATGTTCAAGCAATGGGCTGCGTTGGACGTACACAAGGCGATGGTATGGAAAATGTGACAGTGGATAAAGCCGAGGTGAAGCAAACAAAATGCCGTCTTGGTGATGCTTTGATTTATCACCCAACAAATCTAAAACAATTAAGCTCCATTCCACCGGTTACACCAAATGGTCCAATTATAAATTTAGTACCAAAACATATTTCTAATGTTAAAGATGAAAAACATATTTTGAATTCATTAAAATCGAAGGAACCAAAATTTGTTCCTTACGAGCCATACAAAGCTGCAGTTAAACCAATCATTCCACATGATAAAAAAAGTAAAAAGTTCCATAAAAGTAGTTTAAACGTAGCGGTTTCTCAAGTTGCTGCGATGAAAATTCATGAGATAGAAGTGCCAGCTGCTGAGGTCATCAAAGGGATGGAAGATAAATCTATAGAATGTGAACGGCTAAATGAGAAGAAAGCATATGAAATAGAAATAAAAAAGCTTAAGGAAGAAAATAGTCAACTTGAAAATCAATTAAAATTTCAAGCACAGGTACTTTTCTTCCTATATATGGATATATGCACTATTCTAAAATTGAAAGTTTTGAATGTTTTAACAGAAATGCAAATTATATTTATAATTTACTTAATTAGGTAAATGGGGAATTGAAGAACTTATTAGTGGCAGCTGTAGGTGAAGATCTTGAGACAAAGGTTCATTTGCTGACTGAAGATAAATTACAACTTGCTAGGGCCCTTTTAAATTCCTCTCAGCACCTTTCAACTCATCAAGAACAAACAGAATGGTTGGCTGGACAATGCGAAGTTTGGAGAAGTAGATTCTTAGCCAGTAGGTAAATGAAAATTAATCAAGAAACATATATGGAACATTTTTATAATGTCTTAATGACTTCAAAATTCATGCTCCAATCATTAATAGAGAAAATTAGGTGTAATTTTTACATTTTCATTTACATTTAACTAATAGTATTATAACTACTTCTTTGGATAGCTTAATGGTGGAGGAACTTGCAAAATGGAAAGCAGCCCTCTGTCAAAGAACAACAGATCTTCAAGAAGCAATAAAGAGACTTTTAGAAGATCGTAATCATATTCGTGACATATCCCTTAAAACATATAGGTATGAATATGCAACAAAATTAGTCTCTTCGTATAAATGTTTATATTATTAAGTTAATTAGCGTACAAGTTCACTTATTTTAGGACCCTCAGTATTCTTCGTGAAAACTTTGATCCTGTTGGAGCTGCATCTTCTAAAAGGCACGAGTTACCAAGTACAAATATTACTGACTTAGCACAAGGATGCTGTCAGCTAGCAGAAATTTTGAAAGTTCAATTGTTAAGTGGTGTAGAAAATATTCACTTACACAAAGAAATTAATATAACAGGATTAGATATGAAAACACTTGCTGAAAAAATGGCAGAACAAGTGAGTTTTTACTTCCTTTAATTCATGTTATGTACATAATCTGCAACTAACCTTATTGGTAACACTTGTTTATTCTATTTTATTTGTTTATTTATAGTTGCTCATGAGTCCGAATTTGCTCATGTCGGGAAGGCAAGATGTTGCTTGTAGTGCAGTGATGGGTGCTGCTGTAGCACTTGGTGGCCAAATATTTCTACCACGAAATGATTCAAATATAACTTGTTGTCCTCATTGCAGTGGTGAAATTAAACAAATTTAAAATCTCTATTTGAGTATATTAACACAATTTATCCAAATGGTTACTAATATTTCTACATCCTTTTGAAATTTATTTTTATATTTAAACTTGTTGATTTAATAATACTAATAATATTGACTGACAATAACAAAAAAATTACGCTTAATATCCACATGTAATCATTGACAGTTGATTACTTGTTAAAATATAGTTCTATGAAAAGTTTAGTTGGTAACCGTTATTTCGAAGTAGTAATATATTTATGGTTTGGTTTTTAAGGAAGATGTCTTTGTTGTAATTTCAAAGTGTGTGTGTTTGAAGTAATAGAATTGGAGTGGACAGCCATTATAACTTCAGGCATTTTTTTTCAAGGAATAGACCATTATTAAAATATTTATATTATTTAGCAATAATATTACATGGTCTCCTTATTCATTGATTTACTGAATTTAACCTGAACCAAAGCATTTATATATTTAAAATACTATTATAATATTATGAGAATAGGATATAGTACATACCTATTTGAGTCTCAAACTGCACGAAAGTACAATGTTGCATTAGGTTTCTTTTTCCTCCACTCTTCTTTTTTACGCAGTGTTATACATAATTACGGAAACCAACAGATAAATAGCAGTTATCTAAATAAATAATCATTAGATAAATGCATATCTCACACGAATTATTCACCTACAGGCAAACATAAACTGTGAGTTGTTAGTTAAATATCTGGAAACCCTATATATTTTTTAAATTTAGTTTCCACTTTTGATTACATATGTATTATGAGATAAGACTTAAGGCCACTCAATGTATTGCCATCTTACATTTCAATAATTTGAAGACAAGATCGACAATTAAATTTTACTTCTTATGTATTGAATACATCAAACATGCTTAAAAAATTGTATATATATTTTATTCTCAGTGTTATTTCACGTACACATCAATCAAGTATGAATATGGACGTGATTAACACCGACTTCCGCTCAATTAATCTGCCAAAGTGTACACTTACGTAAAACGTAATTTAGAGATAAAGGAAGGAAAATATAATTCAAAAATTTTGCAACAATGAATCGTAGTGTATCATTGTATTACATCAAATTAAATACAGTAGAGCTCCCTTTATATGAACATGTAAAGGAACATGACAGATCTTATATCTAGATAGTTTATATACATACATAGATAACTTTGTTTAGCAGAATGGAGTTCAAATGAACGAAGTCCTACTGTATAAAAATAGGCCCGACATTCTACTGTACGAAATTATATAATTGAATAAAATAAAAACTACGAGCAACTCTGCCAATGTGTATTTCTTGCGGACGAAATGAATTTTATTTAAACAGTTTAAAAGAAGTACAAAACATTAATACAAATCTGTTAGTATTAGGAAGATGTTTAAAAACGATTCATAATGAGCAACTATCTAAACAAAGACCAGAACATATTGGTCCATTTAGAGAGTCAAAACTAACAAGACTTTTTCAAACAGCAGTTTCTGATAAAGAACACATGGCTTTGATAGTGAATATCAATCTTTTAACAAATTTGTATACAGAAACACAAAATGTTCCGAATTTTGCTACAATTACAAAGAAAATAGTTTTAGAACAGAAACAAAAAATGTATAAGAAAAACTCCCGAAATAGTTAGAGAAAATATAAAACCAATAACTGATTAGGATACGGCAGAATTAGAAAGTGATACCAGAATCATTTCTGATATCATGATGAATTTTGTTTTTCTTCACTGCAGAAGTAATATTTATAATGATATATATATATATAATATGTATCTGACCTTGTTGAAGCAACACCATTTCAGCATCTTTCTCCTGTTCTATATCCTCCGCATTTTTCAAACAATCCTCAAATTCTAAGAGCTTATCATTATTTTCATCTAACAACTTTTGCAGACGTTCTTTCTCATTTTGACATATCTCTAAGTTTTTATTTAATCTTCGTTTTATCGCTGAAGTTCCGTTACAGTATTGAGAATGTGCTCCAGTTCTATGATTTTTGGAGCATGTACGTCCAAGCACTAGAAAGAAAAATATAGTATAATAACAAATAATAAAAATGTAAATAAATAATAAATGTAATAATTACAAATTCTTAGATAAAAAAAAAGATCTCTCCTCTAATTTCATACAATGAAAGTTTCTTTAGATCAAATGCTATTACAGAATTTAGAAAATACTTTGTAATGAAATTACCATAAATTTGGGTATTAAAGTCTCGTATCCGCCATTTCTTGGCGAATCTCTAGATCACGACTTAATGCAGAATTCGTCAATAATTTTATTACATCTTTTAAATTTTTATTGTACAAAATAACTCATCATAATCCTCAATTTGAACATATACAGGTATATGTAGCATGATTACCACCAGTGTTATGCAATTCTGCCAAGATACATACAAATATAATTAATATAAATCAGTTTGAAATGTATATGCATTTTAACGAATGCAATACCTTCACTTCCTAATTCTGTAACATCCCAATCAGTTACTGTTTTAATACTTTCTCTATTTGTATAGACTGGGACTTTTTCTTATAAACTTTTTGTTTCTGTTGTAAAACTATTTTCTTTACAATTGTAGCTAAATTCGGAACATTTTGTGTTTCTGTATACAAATTTGTTAAAAGATTGATATTCACTATCACAGCCATATGTTCTTTATCAGAAAGTGCTGTTTGAAAAAGTCTTGTTAGTTTTGAATCCCTAAATGGACCAATATGTTCTGGTTTTTGTTTAGATAGTTGCTCATTATGAATCATTTTTAAACGTCTTCCCAATACTAACAGACTTGTATTAATATTTTGTGCTTCTTTTAATTTATCCCTAATGTTTAATATTTTTTTCAAATGTTCTGAACCAACCAAATTGCAGAAGGTGGATCTGTAATATTTATAAGAACAATTATATATAAAGGAATCATTTTTGGCATAAACATTGTATTTAATAAGAAATACTATTGCATACATGCTAAATTCAACAGTATTTGGTTCATTCTCAATATAATGCTTCAATAATTTGATAATAAATATATAATGCAACCTAGAACTTCTTGAATTTACAGCTGTTACAGTTACTTTTAAATTATACTGTCCAGCCATTAAAATCTGGTAAGGCCCAGAATCAGAATTAACATAATGTGCATCAGTGCATTGACTGGGCCTTATTCCTGACTCCTTTATAGGCCAAGATACTTGGATCTCTTCCAAATAAATATGATAGTTCATCTTGTGTATTTAGATTACAAGACCATCTATAACAGAGTCTAATGTATCATCCATCTATAATAATTAAAAAAATATTAGATATGTTCACTATCATATTAAGCTATAAAAAATTTTGGGTAAAAAATAGAAACTACGTAAAAACTAAGAACATTAGAAAGTTCAAACTGGCCTTGAAAGATGGAGAAAAGTTTCCGGAACATAGTACTATATATATACTCAGTTTCTAATTTACCTTATTTAAAGTGGTTGTAAATATCCATCAAAGTTCAAGATGGGTAGTAGCGAGCATTTTTACCCTATATTTTCGTAATTTTACGAAAGGTTCTCCGCCTTTACTATACAACATCGGATCTTCTAGATGTTTTTTAAGATGAAAACAGTCGAATTGTTGCGTCGGAATGATGTTCAATTCAGACAAATTGAGAAAATATCAAAAAAATCGACGACGTGTGAACAACCAAGCACAACAGTGTACGATGTCTTGCCGTCGCGCGGCTATCACTCGCCATCAACTCTTGGCTTTATGTGTCGTATTTAAACTGAACCAAAATCTACACTACTGTCCCATGGGGCATTATGTATTTGGGGCCTAATGATGAAGAAAATCCTTTATATATTCCTCGAAGTCCACTTATTACACTTTTTCAGTAGACAAAATAAAAAAGATCGTGCACAATTCTTATCGTTTTTTAAGAACTTTATACAGACAAGAAATCGTTTCAAGGTAGATGCTTTATGAAGAAAACCTATGAAAAAGTGAAACGCCAACATAAATTAACATTATATGTACATATTTTAAACTCAGCAAACGAATCAAAGCGAAGAAAATTTCTGTGCTTACTTCCGCTAACGGATCAAACTGCGGCCAACATATGTGCAGAAGTAGGACCCATTCATCATACAATTTCTTATACAGCTATATTCATGGTATGGACATGCAACGTTCACGTCTACATCTATCTTAGCTTGCTTAGACTATATTGGTCTAATGACGAGTGACAACTGATTACATACACAGATTGGTTTTCCTCATTTAAACATCATATTTAATGATGAATTGCATGTCTTAATGTATTGCCTTCTGGATATACAACACGATGTCGATTGAAATCGAGTCTGCTGAGTATGTATTTAACACGTATTATTACAATGCTTTGTTTACCTCGTTCGTTTATATATTACTATTTGTTTTCAGTGTAATTCGTTTAATACAACAATACCTTAAAGAGTCTAATCTCGTCAAAACATTACAAACATTACAGGTATTTAAGTTTTGTTTATAGAGTACAATCTAATTGATCCTGATCCATAATAACAGTAACTTAATGCATTAAATTAATAGGAAGAAACTGGTGTATCATTAAATACAGTGGATAGTGTAGATGGTTTTGTGGCAGACATAAACAATGGACATTGGGATACAGTATTAAAAGCAATACAATCATTAAAATTACCAGATAAGAAGCTTATCGATTTGTATGAACAGGTATGTAATTATAGTATGTTTATTAACACCTTTATGTTTAATCTATACCACTTTTCAGGTTGTCTTAGAATTAATTGAGTTACGAGAACTAGGTGCAGCCAGATCATTATTACGCCAAACAGATCCTATGATTATGATGAAACAACAAGAACCTGAACGATATATTCATTTAGGTGAAGTAAAAGAATGACGATATTTTTCTCACAACTTTAGAAAATGTTTTGGGCAGTTTTATATTACTTTCCTATAATAACGTTTTATATTTCATTGTACAGAAAATTTACTTGCACGCTCATATTTTGACCCACGCGAAGCATATCCTGATGGTAGTACAAAAGAGAAACGTAGAGCTTATATAGCTACAGCACTTGCTGGTGAAGTGTCTGTAGTACCATCGAGTAGGTTACTTGCGCTATTAGGACAAGCATTAAAATGGCAGCAGCATCAAGGTTTACTTCCACCTGGTACTACAATAGACTTGTTTAGAGGGAAAGCAGCAGTACGAGATCAAGAAGATGAGAAATATCCAACACAACTTTCGAAACAAATCAAATTTGGACAAAAATCTCATGTGGAATGTGCAAGATTTTCACCCGACGGTCAATATTTAGTTACCGGATCTGTTGATGGATTTATCGAAGTTTGGAATTTTACAACTGGTAAATTTAGGAAAGATTTAAAGTACCAAGCACAAGATAACTTTATGATGATGGAGCAAGCAGTATTATCAATGGCTTTTAGTCGTGATAGTGAAATGTTGGCTGGTGGTGGCCAAGATGGAAAAATAAAAGTATGGAGAGTACAAAGTGGACAGTGTTTAAGAAGATTTGAAAAGGCTCATTCAAAAGGTGTTACGTGTCTCCAGTTTAGTAGAGATAATAGTCAAATACTCTCTGCATCGTTTGATACTACAATAAGGTATGTAGATGCAGTAGAATACAAAATTTTATCAGAATTGTGATTTTATTTTTTATACAGAATACACGGGCTTAAATCTGGAAAAACGTTAAAAGAATTTCGAGGACATTCATCTTTTGTGAACGAAGTCGTCTTTGCACCAGATGGACACAATGTAATAAGGTACAGTTTATATCTCATTGATTTTTAAGTAATGTTGATTCAAAGTATTCAATTACTGTTTTTTCATTTTTTTTTAAGTGCTTCATCCGACGGAACCGTAAAAATTTGGAGTTTGAAAACAACGGAATGTGCGGGCACATACAAATCTTTAGGTGCTGCGGATTTAACTGTAAATAGTATACATCTTTTGCCTCGAAATCCCGAACATTTTGTCGTTTGTAATCGCTCGAATACGGTAGTAATTATGAATATGCAAGGCCAAATTGTAAGATCATTCTCAAGTGGTAAACGGGAAGGCGGTGACTTTGTTTGCACGGTTGTCAGTCCAAGAGGTGAATTTATTTACTGTGTTGGTGAAGATCTTGTGCTTTATTGTTTCTCTACATCATCTGGAAAACTCGAAAGAACTCTCAATGTAAGTAACGTTATTTTTGTATTTTATATGTAATAGACACTAGACGATTGTTAACCTTTTCCAGTATTTTTTCATTACCAATACAATGTCGTAAGTATGTTTCTTTTTATTGCAGATACACGAGAAAGACGTAATCGGCCTAACGCATCATCCCCATCAAAATCTTCTGTGTTCTTACAGTGAAGATGGTCTCTTAAAATTATGGAAACCCTAACTTGTTATAAATACACTTACATGTTTGATATTACTCTATTCTTCTTATAATATTTATTTCATTTTACTATTTTCTTATGTCATTTAACAATTTATATCTAATATGAATGGAGCAAAATATTAAATAATACTACACATACAGATCAAACTCGGAGTTTTAGTGTGAAAGAAACACAAAGTAAGAAGCCTGGTAATATTGAATAGTTTAATAGTATCTACGTGAGGTGTTCAGATAGGAATGAATATAGAACCATTTCTAGTATGTAAAAAATTATTAATCTTTTTATACATTAATTATATTTATATTTTATATTTTAGTCATCATCGTATACAACACCAACTTGTTTTCGAATCTCGTCCTCTAACTGTGCAATTAGCAAAGAAGCAGCGTGCGAAACCTTTGGACTTTCAATCATATCTAAAATGTGTAATAACAAAAATGAGTAAAAATACACTTTTGAATGTATAATCAATTTTTTATAGTTATCTACTTTAAAGTTCAATGTTATCTATTTTTAAGTTTGGTCATGATAAGTCGCTTTCTAAATTATTGTGCAATGAAGTTGCGTCAACGATATATGTGCAACATTATGTATACCTTTCAGAATGCATTTTCGAACTTCATCAGCCTCGTAACTCAATCCAACACTATTGACAAAGTTGAATTTGAGATTAGTCTTCGGTAGTGGCAAGTCCACAACTTTTCCATTTGACAATTCCAATTTTGAAGGGCTCCAAAACTGCGGAATTTTTATCATCCCCTTTGTTCCCAGAACGTAAGCTTCATTCGGCAGATCAACCTTCGAATGGAATAGCATAGTGGCAGTACGATTTCCTTTGTAATGGAAACTTGCCGTTGCGGAAATATCGACGCCTTCTTCGTTGAGGCAACCAGAAGCTTTGACAGATTGTGGTACTTCATGATCAAATATATGACAAGCAAACTGTATTCCATACACGCCTAAGTCTAATATTGTACCACCTCCTAGCTTTTTTAATCTAAGAATAAAGAATAAGTTCTGTAAAATGTTAGTCACCTAGTTTAAACAGTTTGTAAGATATTGGTGATAAACATTTTAAAAATTCGAAAAAAAAGAATCCGCCATGAGAATGTCCAAGACTTTTACTTACTCGAGTCTATCAACGCCTGATAAGTTGAATCCGAAGGATACAAGAACCTGATAAACTTCTCCGATACTTCCAGAAGCAATCTCCTTCTTAATGATATCATAAGCAGGGAAGCATCTACTCCAAATAGCTTCCATCAAAAACAGGTTCTTGCTTTTTGCCGTATTAATTAATTGGCTTGTTTGTTTGTAATTCAGAGTTAAAGGTTTTTCACATAAAACGTGTTTTTTATTTGATAACATTAATTGTGCAACAGATAAATGTGTAGGATGTATAGTCCCAACATATACAACATCTACAACAACAAATAAAAGCAGTTCTTTCTAAAATAAATGTTCATGAACTAATTCTTTATTTGCTCACCAATTTCTTCATCTTTTGCCAACTTCTCGTAACTGTCGTATGCTTTTTTAACATTATGTGTTGCAGCAAAGTTTTCAGCCCGTGAAAGGTCTTGTGCTGCTACTGCAATAACTACATGTTCAGATTTTGGCAGTACATTCAAAGCTGTTACAAAATCATGAGAGATTTTTCCACAGCCTGCTATTCCCCAACGCGTAGCCATCTATAATGAATTAATTAATTTTTAAACAGAAGATGATGCATGTGACATAACGACTACCTGTAGAATGATATTTTTCATTGACTTATGTGAAAATTTTTTGTAAAAATGTTTCCTGCACATAATATTTCTATAAATTATTCTACATAAAATTATACAGATATCTATAAAAACGAGGCTCGAATAATCGTACTTCCTCTTCCCAAATTGTCCACTTTTGTTTACAAGCTGAGAGACAATTGGAGAGAATTTACTGTACAATTGACATAACCAATGAAATTCAAAACAGTTTGTTTTTTATTTAAAAAATCTTATAGCCTATTTTGGATAATCCTGTATTTTACTCATGGTACCGGTAGTTGTCAATAATGGACACATAATACACATGAAATGTATGCTACTGCTATTACAAATATGTATATATTACATTTCCGCAATGAAATAATACTTTACTTACAGTATTTATGAAAAATGCTGTGGTATAAAAACTCTTTTACAAAAGGGGGTTTTATTTGCTACGCTGTGCGCCGTGTAACTGTCAGAAAAACAATGTTATCGTCCTGAAATTGAACACACTTTTATAAGTTTTACGTGTAATCTACTGATTACGTAAGACCCTCCCTTATCTTGCTCTATTTTCTTCATTACGTTCGACTATGTGTACATAAGTGCACGTATTTCATCGAACTAAAGCGGCAAGATAAGAGAAAATATAATTCTCAATCTTACGTATATAATATAATATTATATTTTCTTCGTTATATATATATATATATAAATATATACGGTCGTTTGCGTGTACACACAATTACTCAAAATTGAGCGTACATACACCTTCTAAAACACAACAACTTTTTGAAAACTGGGCTAAATGACTTGAATTTTTTTAGATGATAGCTGGTCTAGTCTACTAGACAATGATCAAAATACTTTTTTTTTAATTTTGCTATTACTTGGAATAACAGAAAAAAATAAAAAGCTCTCGATTTTTAACTCTTCTATCTGAGCCTATAACGGAAAATTAAAAAATGCTTCTCGCAGATCTCGATAATTTATATGCGTGCTGAAAATTTGATGAGTTATTTGACAAATTAATTGAGTGATAATAATAAAGATAGATAATTTTTGCCTATATAATATTTGCCCAAATATTCGACATATTTTACCCATTCGAATATTTCCAACAAAAACGACTGACATAGGAAAATAGTAAAATGAAATAAATATTATAAGAAGAATAGAGTAATATCAAACATGTAAGTGTATTTATAACAAGTTAGGGTTTCCATAATTTTAAGAGACCATCTTCACTGTAAGAACACAGAAGATTTTGATGGGGATGATGCGTTAGGCCGATTACGTCTTTCTCGTGTATCTGCAATAAAAAGAAACATACTTACGACATTGTATTGGTAATGAAAAAATACTGGAAAAGGTTAACAATCGTCTAGTGTCTATTACATATAAAATACAAAAATAACGTTACTTACATTGAGAGTTCTTTCGAGTTTTCCAGATGATGTAGAGAAACAATAAAGCACAAGATCTTCACCAACACAGTAAATAAATTCACCTCTTGGACTGACAACCGTGCAAACAAAGTCACCGCCTTCCCGTTTACCACTTGAGAATGATCTTACAATTTGGCCTTGCATATTCATAATTACTACCGTATTCGAGCGATTACAAACGACAAAATGTTCGGGATTTCGAGGCAAAAGATGTATACTATTTACAGTTAAATCCGCAGCACCTAAAGATTTGTATGTGCCCGCACATTCCGTTGTTTTCAAACTCCAAATTTTTACGGTTCCGTCGGATGAAGCACTTAAAAAAAAATGAAAAAACAGTAATTGAATACTTTGAATCAACATTACTTAAAAATCAATGAGATATAAACTGTACCTTATTACATTGTGTCCATCTGGTGCAAAGACGACTTCGTTCACAAAAGATGAATGTCCTCGAAATTCTTTTAACGTTTTTCCAGATTTAAGCCCGTGTATTCTGTATAAAAAATAAAATCACAATTCTGATAAAATTTTGTATTCTACTGCATCTACATACCTTATTGTAGTATCAAACGATGCAGAGAGTATTTGACTATTATCTCTACTAAACTGGATACACGTAACACCTTTTGAATGAGCCTTTTCAAATCTTCTTAAACACTGTCCACTTTGTACTCTCCATACTTTTATTTTTCCATCTTGGCCACCACCAGCCAACATTTCACTATCACGACTAAAAGCCATTGATAATACTGCTTGCTCCATCATCATAAAGTTATCTTGTGCTTGGTACTTTAAATCTTTCCTAAATTTACCAGTTGTAAAATTCCAAACTTCGATAAATCCATCAACAGATCCGGTAACTAAATATTGACCGTCGGGTGAAAATCTTGCACATTCCACATGAGATTTTTGTCCAAATTTGATTTGTTTCGAAAGTTGTGTTGGATATTTCTCATCTTCTTGATCTCGTACTGCTGCTTTCCCTCTAAACAAGTCTATTGTAGTACCAGGTGGAAGTAAACCTTGATGCTGCTGCCATTTTAATGCTTGTCCTAATAGCGCAAGTAACCTACTCGATGGTACTACAGACACTTCACCAGCAAGAGCTGTAGCTATATAAGCTCTACGTTTCTCTTTTGTACTACCATCAGGATATGCTTCGCGTGGGTCAAAATATGAGCGTGCAAGTAAATTTTCTGTACAATGAAATTTAAAATGTTATTATAGGAAAGTAATATAAAATTGCCTAAAACATTTTCTAAAGTTGTGAGAAAAGAATATCCTCATTCTTTTACTTCACCTAAATGAATATATCGTTCAGGTTCTTGTTNTTCTAAAGTTGTGAGAAAAGAATATCCTCATTCTTTTACTTCACCTAAATGAATATATCGTTCAGGTTCTTGTTGTTTCATCATAATCATAGGATCTGTTTGGCGTAATAATGATCTGGCTGCACCTAGTTCTCGTAACTCAATTAATTCTAAGACAACCTGAAAAGTGGTGTAGATTAAACATAAAGGTGTTAATAAACTTACTATAATTACATACCTGTTCATACAAATCGATAAGCTTCTTATCTGGTAATTTTAATGATTGTATTGCTTTTAATACTGTATCCCAATGTCCATTGTTTATGTCTGCCACAAAACCATCTACACTATCCACTGTATTTAATGATACACCAGTTTCTTCCTATTAATTTAATGCATTAATTTACTGTTATTATGGACAAGGATCAATTAGATTGTACTCTATAAACAAAACTTAAGTACCTGTAATGTTTGTAATGTTTTGACGAGATTAGACTCTTTAAGGTATTGTTGTATTAAACGAATTACACTGAAAACAAATAGTAATATATAAACGAACGAGGTAAACAAAGCATTGTAATAATACGTGTTAAATACATACTCAGCAGACTCGATTTCAATCGACATCGTGTTGTATATCCAGAAGGCAATACATTAAGACATGCAATTCATCATTAAATATGATGTTTAAATGAGGACAACCAATCCTGGTATGTAATCAGTTGTCACTCGTCATCAGACTTAATGTTATGTCCATACCATGAATATAGTTGTAGAAGAATGTATATTTAGGACATTTCTAGCAAAGTGACGGACTATGAAAATGCTTGTGTTATACACGAATCGATTCGTTTTGACGTGTATCTTACAGAATTGATAAGTGTTTCCTGGGGAAATTTATTGTAACTGAGAAATACGCAATTAAAATCTTCATAGATCTGTCAATAACACTTGTAACAATTTAAGTATGGCGTGTGTTTAGTTATAAAACAGATCGCTGATAGCGCTGTAAAACATCAACAGTTTTTTAGGAGATGTACCTATCTATAGCTAGAGAGTGACATATGATCTAAGACTTTTAATGTAAAGAAATATGTGTGTAATAATTAAATTTTTGTTTGACAGCAGTTAACGTTATGCAAAACAAATAATTCAAATATTAATTTTCAAATGTATTTACATTATATGTGAAAGTTCTTGTTTAACGGCCAGATGTAAAATTGAATCTACACAACTGAAAATATATCTTTCAAAAAATGTCTGCTTTTTTCTTCTATACATTATCTTATATTTTAATATCAGGATGCATTATATATCCTCCCACAGAATTTATTTCAGTTGGATTAACTATAAAAGACATATTTTCAAATTGGTTAGGCAGTGAAAATGAGTTTTTTGTACAGTATCATATAAGAAGAAGTGTAATTACGTTATTTGTACATTCTATGCTTCCATTCGGTAATTATAAAACATTTTCTTATTGTTTCATGCAGTCTGGATTGTAATACTGAAAATTAATCTTGTTTTCATTCAGGTTACACGTGTGGGTTAATTTTATTTGAACATATCGATATTATGGAAGTTTTGCTAGGTTATCATAATTTGTGGTTAATGTTCATTACTTGTACCGTTCTCCTTCCATTATATGCATTGTATAAAATTCTAACGTGGTATATGAATAACTGGTCTAAACATCCTATAGTACAAAATCTTATCATTTATTGTAATAATAATAACAACATTGACAACAACAATTCAACATGGTCTACAATTGCTTCAGACATCAACACAGAATATAGAAGGTACATACTAATTAAACCATCTTGTTTAAAAGATTGGTAAAATTTGAAAAAAGAATAAAACAACTGTAATTGTATTTTAGGATAGACAAAACTATTATTAATACAAATAGTGTGTCATCTATAATAGCAACAGATAATTGGATAATTAAGGTAATGCCTTATAAAATATTAGTTGCCTACCAAAGTAGTACAGCTTTAGTTGTTAATAAAAGTGACACTCATAACATGTCACCTGTAACAAGAGGAGAAATCACATTTATTAATATTCAGGTAAATGTTGTTTGACTTATTTGAGTTGTCCGACTAATAAAGATGATCGTTTATTTTTTACTAATTTACTTCTCAAAATATTTACGCTTACATAACTAAATAATCATTTTTATAATCTTTAATTTTTAATATAGGTAAAGCCAACAAGAATTGGAGCAAAGCCTTTTGACATAAGGATAAATGCATTGGATTTTAAAAACTTGCAGGACAAAGTTTCAAGTCCCATTGCCATACTACAGAATATTCAATTTCATAAAACTTTACTCGATAGATTTATTGATAATTTTAAAGAACAAGTTCAAGAAAATCCAATTTATGAATTTGCAGATGTATGTGTTATCATATATAAATTTACCTTTCACTTCTTTTACAATTAGATATAAACTTCATTCTTAAAATTATCTTATGCTTATGTGTATATTTTTTAAGGAAATAGGTCAATGCATCGGATGTATGCAAGCTACGTCGAATGTAAAATTATTTAAACAATGTACCACAGACATAGGAAGTGGTAATTCTGAAGATTGCATGACATGTTATTGTCGACCCATGTGGTGCATAGACTGTATGGCAAAATGGTAAATCTATTTACCAGTTTCTGATTAATCAATTAACAATTTATTGTTTTATTGTTGGCAATAACTATTATTGAGAGGTCGTATAAATAGAAATATGAACTAATTGCATAAGAAAGGAATCATTTACTAATTTTAATTAAAGCTATTTATTTTTTGTTTTAAATATTTTTTCATACATCAGGTATTTGTTACTATTTACTGTCAATAAGAATAGATTACAATATTTGTATTATATACATATATTATTACAGGTTTGCTTCGAGACAAGACGAAGGTGCTCCGGAAACATGGCTATCTTCTAAATGTTCTTGCCCTTTATGCAGAGCAAAATTTTGCATTTTAGACGTGTGCTTGATACAGCCTATTTGAATGAGACAGAGTTTTCTCTTTGGAGAACAATATATGTATATATTTACACACATGCATAGAAGTAATTATAATGATTAAAATAGTTTGTGTGATTTTTATATAAAAATAAATTGTAAATCTTTTGTATTCAATAAGACTATTGTAACAATAGCAGTGTCATTAAAAAGGTTTAGTTTATTTAGTTTATGCGCAGTCTTTGAATTTTTTATTAGCATTAATATTTTAGTGTTTATAGAAATTTAAAAACGGTGCTCGTACAACGGCAAACGTAGTTTAAAGCACTAGCAATGTTTCCGATAAAGTGCTTCCGTTGGTAAAAAGGTAATGTGAAAATAGTTAAAATTGTTAATAATATTACATTGATAATTACATTATATTGCTTGCATAATTATAAGAGATACGTTTATTTATACATTGATATTATATTATTATATATAGATATATTACATACAATGTTTTAATATTTTTAATAATAGTTTAATAATAAAATTTTACAATAATAGGCGTTTTCTATATTTACGTTAAATAATCCACACTTGTTCATTTTTTCAAAATGTCTGAGAGTAAATTGTTTTTCAAATTGTACGTTTTCGAATGGAGAATTCGGTGGCATAGAAAATTTTTAGAAATGATAATTTCTTTAAATAATGTATCTAAAATGCGAATGCTTTTGCAATGGTCTTACTTTGAAGCTTTAATACAATGGAGTTCTTCATTGGAAACGAACGCGTTCGTTTTAACGATAATGAAAACTAATTTACCTGGGAAACGTTTTGTATTTTATTATTCTATCGTGTGCACAGGCGGAGAAGTCGCACATATGTACATACATTTTTAATTGTGTTCACATGTCAAAATTATCAATAAATATATCGTAGCAATCAGTGCACGATGTTTACAAACATTAGTAATCAAATCTTTTCGTGATTTATCTTAAAATCGCTTTTTCAACGAAAATGTACGAAAGTGAAACAGAGTATAATATTTACCAAAAAATAAAATGAATAATTGCGTTTTCACAACAAACCAACATAAAAAAAACGTATTTTTATATTATATACATATTTTTATATTCTTTTTGTCATTTCAAATAATAGCAAAATTAAAAAACAAAGTATTTTAGTTATTGTACAGTGAAACAGTCTCTCCAATATTAACGAAAAAGTTCAAGTAGTTTGGACCAGTTTTAAAATAGTTATACCGTTTTAAAAGGTATGCAAGTATTATATATTCTAATTTTTGCGTGACCTCGGCCATAACATTAATATAAATAAGACAGCGTCGTGCACGAAAGATATATATATATATATAACCGCGATTTATCATTTCGTCGAATTATGCAACTTTCTTATGCAACAGTTTTGGTTAAATGTCTTTGCGTTGCTAGTGTAACCTAATCCAGCTTATGTCAATATTTAAACTTTGAACGAGTATCCTCATCTTACTGTCGAAGCGATCATTAAGCTGGAGATACATATAATTGTCAATATTAATGATAGCAGAACCAGATAAATATTTAACAATGAATTTCGATTACGGTGACACAGCTTTTGTGCCTTTAATTTTCTAAAACGAGTCTTATTCAAGCTGTGCGTGCATTGCCTAAAAAACGCACCCTGCTCTTTCATCTTCATTTACTCGCGAGTTTCTACCTAGCAAGATTTCGAACGATTAATTTAACATAAACGTACTCACAGTTATTAATGTGCTTTTCAATGAAATTTCATCTGCAAATACTTGTCACTCGACTGCGGATATGTTAACGCACGATGAGTGTGCAAAATGTATACGACACTTAAAAATCTACAAAATACGCAAGAAAATATGTAAATATGCACGATATTAAGTACGCGTCTACTATATGTAGTTAGCGTTATCTCTAACATTAAGTATCAGCAAACGTTTTCTAGTTAGTCTGATGTATTATACTTCAAGTTACATATATTACAAGCATTTTATCTTCCGACAGCGTCGAATTGATGTCGAATGATCGGCCCGCTGTGATTTCAAATAAAGATTCTAAAATAGAATAAAATGTCATTCGAACGATATTCCAAATAACGTTGTTCCAAACGCGATCGTCGCAGGCACCGGCATAATTACGAAAGAAAGTACAGTGATTTCTCCCTAATTCGCGTACAGATTGCGCACAAAATTGGACAATTTGGGAAAAGGAGATGCGATTATTCGGAGCATTGCGTCTTTTTATAGTTGTTGACAATCGGTAACTATAAAAATGAGCCGCGAGGCTCGAATAATAATAATATGAAATAAATAACAATAATCTCTTCTTCCCAAATATTAGGGATAATTCACTGCAACTGTAAAGGCTCGAATAATCGTATCTTCTCTTTCAAAATAGTCCATTTTTCTAATACTTTTAACACTAGAACTATCAAACCAGTAAAAATCACTGGTATCCGATTTTTACTTTTACAATTCCTGATGCAGTCATTTTTTCTCCCTAATTCGCGTTCAGATTGCGCACAAAAGTGAATAATTTGGAAGAAGGAGATACGATCATCCGAGCCTTGCGTCTCGTTTTTAGAATTGTTGACGATCGGTAACTATAAAAACGAGCCGCAAAGCTCGAACAATAATAATCTCCTGTTCCTAAATATTGTCAATTTTTGTGCGCAATCGGAGCGCGAATTAGGGAGAAATTACGGTAGCTGCGTTATTTGAAACAACGTTCGAAATAATGTCACTTGAAACGTGGCCGGATCTGTTTCCAGACAGAGAGCGAGATTAAAATGTCGTTTATACTGTCAGGCATGGGTGGTTGCGTTTTAATCCGTCGGATCCACTCGCAATAAATTTTCCGGCGGTGCAATTTCTGGCATAAACGACTAGGCGACGGCTTATGTAACCCGCCCAGCAGATTCCATCGGAGTTGCTTCTAATCGTTTCATCGAACACTCAAATAGAACCTCATGCACGCAGAAGAGATCGTTGATACATTTGATTTCAATCGGAAAGATTAAATTGAAAGGTCGACGTGTGTGTAGCCGCCGCCGCCGTCAAAATTGTAGATATCGCCGGATTAAGAAATTCAATGATGGCTTGTTGCCGGAGCTATCGCTCCGAGATAAACGTGTATAGAAATCAAGATTAACCCCTCAACGCGCAGAAACGTATTAACACGGGCGTGCAAAACCGGCCAAAATGTGCAGACCCGTATATATACGGTCGGCGTCGCAACTTATGTCGCTAAAATGTTCAGATTCGAATATATCCGGGCAGTAAAAATAACTTAATAAAAACCAAGGAAAACATTCAATTTATTGATATTCATCGTGTAATTCTGTATTGTAAGCTGTAAAGTTTGTTTATTTGGGATTATAAAATATGGCCTTTTAGGGTGACACTTATAAGCATCTCTGACCTGGTAATTGTTTCTATCTATCTATATCCATTATTGCGTATCTAATTAGCGTTGGCACTTTTGTGAGTTTTGTTATGACTAATTTATTTATTACTCTCCAGTTATCTCCGATCTCTTTCTATTTTTTGCTTATTCAGGAATAAAATATGCACTTTTAGGATGACACTTATGAACATTTAGTGTATTATTCGTGAGCAAGTCGTGAAGTAAAGTAGACGTTATCAAAGTGAATTTCTTCAAAGACAATTGTTTTTTATTTTTTACAAATATTATTAGTGTCAACATATAAAAACGTTTTTGTTTTATGGTGTATTTTTATAGAGAGTAAATTGGATTTTTAGTGTATAAAAGGTATGTTTTCTAATGTTGAAATAAGGAATGTTGGGCTATGTGCTGCACCTTGTTTTGAAATTTACCATACAAAAGAAAATTTTGAATAGTTTTAGTTTATTATATATTTTTCAGCTAATAAATATTATTATTATATTAGTACAAATTTAGGTAAAATTAAATATTTTTCAGTTTTTTTTTCGTCTCCTCCTTCCCCTTCAAAATAGTAACTGGTAATTGAAAAACAGTACGATGGGTACAAAACTCGATCTGCAATGCGATTCAATATTCACTATAATTATTTATCCACTATTTTTATTGAATTTTTAGTAATTTTTGCATTGTTTTTACATATTTATTGAAATTAAGGTCCAAATATGTATTTTCTTAGATAAAAAAAATTGATTTTTTTTGGTCGGTTTTTTTTTTTAAATTGTGCATTAAGGGGTTAAATACGGATTTAAGTAATTCGTCTCGCGGAGTGGCCGGGTAGCGCGGGAATATTTACACATGCGCGCATGGGATCTTGCAATTTCTGTATTGTTATTTACTCCATTATCGTCTTGCCGCCGAACGGTTTCCGCGGAGCGATTGATATACGACGAGCTTTCGAAATTAATTACACCGACAGGTGATCATTCCGAAGTGACTTACCCATAGGCTACCGCAACTTTCCATTCGCGATGGCGATAATGTTCCTGAAACGAATGATTTCATTTCTTAGCCACTTGTTGCGCGTGATCGAGAACAAAGGAAAAGTGTTCGTCCGTTGTTCGAACTGCGACTAAATTACACGATCGCGGATAATCGTTGATTATCGGCTCGTTCGAAAAATTGTTACATTTCTCGAGAAAACGTATCGTTCTGCGAGGGTGTTCGAGGAGCGCTCGTTACGGTAATTCGCTAATAAAAACGAGGACTTCTACGAGAGTATGATTTCAAAGTTACCGGAGAAACGTCAAAGAGTTCTGTTCTTTTTTTACTCTGAACGTTAGAAAATCGTCCTTCATTTTCTCGAGAAAGAACGAAAGAACTTTCCGAACAACCCCTTGCAGCAATTTCACCATTTCTGTGCACAATTAGGGAGGATTTACTGCACGAAGAAAAGGAAAGTTCGTGAAATTATTTTAGCGATATTCGCAATTGTTCCAGGATCTGTTGAATAAATTTTTACAAACAAAAAAAATTCAGGTTGTTCGAGGGTGTTTCATCTTTCTGCGACGTTGTCAGGTATGCGAATTCGGTGGCAGGGATACGTGGTAACTTTTGAACATGGAAAGAGCTTTAAAACATTCGGGCAAATGACTTAAATATTTTTTTAAATGTTAAAAAGTCTAGTTTATTGAAATATATATTTTATCTTATTATATTATTATATATATATATATATATATATATATAATATAATAATAATATACAATAATATAATATATATATAAAAATAATATATAATATATATATAATAATAATAATATGTATAATAATATATATACAATTGCGCTTGTTTTTTATCGATAAACTATATATATATATATATATATATATATAATAATATATATTGTATATATATACATATATTGTATCAATATATACAGCTATATATATTGTTATATATATAGTTTATCGCTAAAAAAACAGCGCAATTGTCCATTTAACTTTACAAACTGAAGGAAATTTGGGGAGAATTTACTATACTCTCGTCGGATCAACCGAGAAAAAGAGAACAATAAAATGATTCGCTGCTTTCCAAGTCAGCGTCGTATCATATTTCGATCGTTTCGGAAGAAACTTCGATCGATCGATTCACCCTTGATTAGTCGATTTATCTATACCGCAGCCCGTGGTACTAATCTCGCAATCGGTATCACTATTTACACGTACTAAACCTCGCGGCGTAAAGTATTCCTTATCGTGCAAACTTCTTTATCTGGCATGGCGTTCTTGTTTGTATGCAGGCACGTGTGCATGCGCCACATTCCATCGAATGCTTTTCACTTTCGTCGCCTCTGATTTGAAAATAGATTCGCTCGCTCCGATGCACACCGTCGATTATTCTTACACGCATCGGCCCGCGAGGCTTCTTATCGTTTCGTTGGATCATATACCTCGAGAACACGCGTGTCCATTATTTAATTAAAATTACTTCTAGAATTCACCGATAATGACGAAGTAATAGGAGCTGCTCGTGTAGGAGATTATCGTATTTAACCACGAGCATATTTCGAGTATATATGTGTGTAGGACTGGAGAACGATCTTATCCAATTTTAATTACGATAAATCCGTGGTATGTAAATCTTTCGAAATTATATCTATTATCTAGATCATCTTTGGATACGATATCGAAATAGGTGTATCGTTGGATCGTAATTTCTAATGTACAGGGGCCCATTTTAATCTACCAGGGCAAATATCTCGGAAAGTACGAATGATACGAACAAATATTTCAGATGGAAATATTGTAATTTTTTAATTAAAACCTGCATTCTTTGTTAGACTAGATCGCTTTAAAAAATTGACGTACCGGAAAGCAGCTGTGCAAAAGTCACATTTAAATAGCATTTTGAAAACGCCTCGATGTCCGCTACAATAATACGCGATAAAAGATATAGTTTCCAATTTAAAAATTCGTAGCTGACCTTAGAAAGTTTCTCCAAGATTACCGCACGGTTAAATAAATCACGGCACAATCTGCCCCCCTCGAAAGCGTACAACTTCCGTCTGAAATGTTTTCTCATAGCACTCGTACTTTTCGAGATATTTGCCCTGGCAGGTTTAAAATGGGACACCCCGTAGAAACTTCTTCGAATTAAACGATGCACTCGAGGTTTCACGATCAATCTCTTTAGATAGCAACGTGTACAGAAGTTTTCAACAAAAATGCCGAACGACGAGTCGATAGCTACTTGGCACCGAACATGTTGCTCGTTGTAATTAATTGTAAATGAAGGACTCGATCGTCGCTAAGTTCATCATACTTTAGATAATGCAACCGATAAACATAATATTTCGTTTCTATCGCAGTTCGTGATACTTGTAGAACATCGTTTTAATAGCGGCAGTACACGCGCGGTGTATCGAGATGTGTAGTGAATTTGTGCGTGGTTTTTTGCTATTCGAGTTTAGAAGCAATCGGCATCACAGGAATTATATCAGTCTCGATAACGATCGCGATATCTATCGGCAAAGATGATTAGCAATTCCGTCGTTTCGGATGTGTCGTGGACATCGTTGTCGAAAGTGAACGTTATCATTCAGCATAGCAGAAATATTTTACGCAATGTGGGCTGGTTTTACGTAATCCATACATAAAGTAAGCACTTGACATCGTTTCATCCGTTTTTAACTTTTCACCTGTTTCAGATGTCCAGAACAGTATGCGAGGCGAATGCGAACAGTTCGATGGAAAGTTATCGTTGGGAAGAAATCTGTGTTCGCCAGCAAGATTTGTAAGTGCATTGTTATTAGACTTATATGCAAACTGTGTGTATATATATGCACTTATATAATAGATACTGAGAAATTCGTAAAGTTGTGTTTAATCGATATACTTAATATTGCATGCAATGTGAAGTACGTAAAAATGTATTTAATATCGCACAAACTATTTTATATATCACATTATATATTACTATATATATTTTATAATTGAGTGTGTAACTTTAAATGGGGCACCCTGTATATCGTGCGTATTACTCAAATATTAACTTTTTGGCATAAGAAACAAAATATGATATATAATATATAATAATAATAATATTATAATAATATAATATTTCAACACGTTTACAACTATATTAAATTCTATTCACTTTTCAATCTATTAGTTCTGCAAATTCTTAAAGTATTTAACCCTTATAAAATTAATAGAGTTTAAAGGTTAAATACGTAAACAGTTTATAAAATTAATAGAGTTTAAACCGTTTACGTATTCGATTATAATATACAATATACAGGGTCCACTGTATGTGCATTTATGTGTATGCGTATCTGTACATATAAATAATAATGTTTCTATGTTATTACGCTTCGTGCATAATTTAAGTGACGCAAAGCAACGATATTTTTCTAATAAATTCGCAATTGAAAATTCATGTCTTTCGTCGGAAAAGTGCACATGTATTGCATACAACACAATACAAAAGTGTGATAGAGAAGAGCAAGTTATGATAAATTTAAGCGGTTTACGATCATTTCCAAGCTAGTTCGTCATGTTATTGTGTACACGCATCTAAAATGCAGAATATGCAAAATATGCGAGGAATATGCAATGTACTGAATGCACAAGAGGAAAAAAAGCACACTTCCGATATCCTGCAACGATAAAATATGTTTGAATTAAAGTTCTACTCGATCAATTCGGTTTTCTAAAATCTGCGTCCGCATAAACATTTTCCGCAGCCTAATTATGACACACACAGTTTTATCTGTTCGCTGTCAGATTCTCCTAGAAAGCCTTTCCATTCAGCCGTTACGAAATATCGATGGAAAGAACAGTGTGGCGCGCGGTTATTTGCAACGTAGGTGACACTGAACCGCTCATTTTCATAAATGCGGAACTCGGTCTATAATTTAGTTCGAGGTAAAGGCTATCGACGATTATACCGTAGCATTTTCACTCGAACATCGCTCTTTATCTTCGTGTCTCAGGGACTAAGCGAACAATTAACACTATGCCGTCCGCAGATCTTAGATACGATTCTTTCGTTTGACGCCGGCATAATAGCTTGGAAATTTTAGATTTTAGTAATATAATAAATAATAAATATAATAATATAATATATTCCTAAACTTAAGGTATGTCATCCAAGAATTTTCATACTTAATTCTTCGTTAAATAAGCACAATGCTATAGTTAGTTTGCTGACTTTTGACACCCAAGAAATATAGTTCAAATGTTACTTCAGTTTTTTAAAATGGCACCGAAGTGGTGCCACCGGACAGCATAGTGTTAATGACGATCAATAAATATAATAATAAATATAATAATATAATAAATTCCTAAAATTAAGGTATGTCATCCAAGAATTTTCATACTTAATTCTTCGTTAAATAAGCACAATGCTATAGTTAGTTTGCTGACTTTTGACACCCAAGAAATATAGGTCAAATGTTACTTCAGTTTTTTAAAATGGCACCGAAGTGGTGCCATCGGACGGCATAGTGTTAATGACGATCGCGGAACACAACGAAACACTTCTAATTAGAACGAGATCGCCAACTATGGAATTTCACATTTCTAACATAATAAACAATCGCCGATATCGAAATGATTGAAAAACAAAACAAAAAATGGCAAAGTGCCTTATAATCATGAAATCAGCTGCCAAATACGCAGCATCGAAAGCTTTCGTTCATTTCATCTGGAATAATCGTATCCGCACTTCCCAAATCGTCCATTTTTGCGCACGATCTTTGCGTCAATTGTTGTTGTTTGTTCGGTAAACTAGTCCTTCCGACATTAAAAATAATATCCAAATAATTCGTCGGAACATTTTAAAGCTCTTTACACATGAAAAAGTTATCGAGCATTCCCGCGACCGAATTTGTTACCCGATAGCCTTGTAAAAAAAGAATGAAACGCGTTCTCACAGCCTGGGACAATCGTGAGACAGTTTAACACGTTGAATGCCACGGGGGTTACCGGTGACCGGCGCTTAACTTGGCGGTGACGCCATGGGGGCCACCGGTGACCGGCGCGCCCAAATCGATAGAAATATATATATATATATAATTCAAAACAAATGTGAATATCTAAAATTTGGTATTATTACCATCGTCAATTCAAACGGTGATCCCCGTCGCAGTTAACATGTCAAACATGATTATACACTGTAACTTATCTATATCTAGATAACATTTCAACGTTATATGTATCAAATAAAAGAAAATTCATCGTGGCGCCACGGACAATTTCTGTGAAACCGGCGTGGCATTCAACGTGTTAAATAAAAAACCGTGCCCTTTCTTGTCACAGTTCCGACGGCGACGTTCGTCAAGAGTGGGGGCGAGCCTTATTCCCATCATTCGCGAGCCTTATTTCCGATGGGCCCGGTGTGTCGGGCGCGACAGGTATCGGCCGATTGATCCGCTCGCGTTATTTCCAGCGTTTACGCAACAGGCTCGAAACCGCAAAGCGGAGCCGAGCGGATCGTTCGGTGGTCCAGCGTCGCGGAAAGAGAGCCGGGGCGATCTCGCCGGCTCGGGAGAGGGTAGAAAAGCCGATGGAGAACAACGTCGCGACAAATGGTAGGACTGGCGATTTTGGGCAGAGGAGGACAGACGGCAGGTGAAAGGGAGCACAGGAGGCGAGATGCAGACGTCGCGGGATCCGCAGAGGGGCCGGAGCGGGGCCGGAGCGGGGCCGGAGCGGGGCCTGAACGGAGCCGATCGCGGTTGCAGTGCCCTGTGTTCGCGCGATCGTCGCGATGCTAAGGACGATTCCTCGTCGTTTCCGACACAGTCCTCTCGACGCGGTGTTCGAGCCGTCGTCTCCGAAAGAAACGGCGCGGCCGCCGCACCGGTAGAAACCCATTCGGGAGTACGGCCTCTATCTTCCCCTCCCACGTGTCGCACACGTCGTCGCTCTTGTAGCGGGACGCGTGTCCGCCGGCTTCCACGATCGCGCCCATGTACACCGCGTATATATACCTGAGCAACGCCGAAAAAAACCAGGCTAGTCGTGCCCGACGTTCGTCACCGTTCCACGCGGATTTCCTTCGCTCCTTCCCGAGCACGCCGCCCGACGCTCCGCTGTCATCGTCGCGATCGCCGAGCCGGTCCCGCTCCGATCCGATCGTGCTGCTACCGATCCACTCGACGTTCGCGCTCGGCGAACGGACACGCCGCGGGCTCTCTCGGTCTGCGAAACGGCGGCAGAGACACGGGCGCGGAATTCGGAGCAGAATCTCGCGCGCGAGATCCACGAGATCCGCGGCGCGCGGACTTCTCGTATAAAACGATATTCGGCCCGGGCGAACGATCGGAAACGTTTATGGAGAGAAAGTAAACACCCGAAGGACACGAATACATCATCGGGGGCCGACCACGCTGCCGCCGCCTCGCCACCTGTTCGAGAACGCGGCTTTTTCGCAGAAAGGTTCGCGCACCGAAAACAACCGGGCCCCTGCGCCACCGACGAATCTCATTCGACCGTGCGCCGTCGACGCGGCCGCTCTCCGTTTGCCCGTCGCCCATCGAAGGCCCCGCAGCCGTTCACGTTCGGTCCCCGTTCGTTTATGCATCCGCATAGGCCGTGTTCCCCGATTGTTATCGGCGATCACCGAGCGATAAACGAAATCGCCGGCGACGATTGGCGGCGACAGGCGAAACGGAAAATCGTGCGGACTTCGATCCCGTTGTGCAACCGATCTCTGTGTCCGGGATTTATCCGTAAGTGTCTCCGTCGACCTGTAATCGCGCGGTCCGCGACGCCCGGCCGAAGACTGCTCCGAGACCCGCTGATAAATCATTATCGCCGCGGATGCTATTAGAGACACACCGGAATAAGATAAAGGTGTAGAGAAACGATTGGAGGATCGGCGCGCGTTCGAAGAAGATCATCTTGTGGCGGGGGACGCGCGACGGGGAAACGGATCCGCCGAGGATCGGCCGAGGATGTAAATAGAAGGTTACGCGGAGTAGTCTCCATTCACGTGGAAGCCGGGGAAAAACCGCGAGGCGTCCCCTCAGCTGGAAGATATCCGAGTCATCGACGGTTATACCACCTGCTCCCTGGTCCTGCTTCGCTGGGTCCTACGCGGTCCTGCGACGATCGACGCACCTCTGTCACGTGAGTACAGATCGCACGAGGAGGCCCGTTTCGAAAAGCGTTCCGATCGCGGATCACCCGTGGAAACGTTCCCGGGTTGAATAGAGCTCGGACCATCATCATCGTCATCCCGGCAATCGGTTGATGTACCGCGTTACGCAACCGATCGGACTTTCGACGCACGACGCCCGCGATCGAGATCGGGCTCCGCGATTATCGGAACCGCGATTATCGGAACCGCGCCCGCCGAAAATTATCGGCCACCAGCGGGAGCACGCTCGATCGCGGAGGCGGATATCGTATACAGTGGCCCGCAAAAGTGTCCGCGCACCTTCTCTAAAACGCGATAAATTTTTCGAAACTGGAACTACCTATTTTTTCTTTTTTTTTAGATGGTAGAGGGACTAGATGGTAGGTGGAAAGCTTTTTCTTTCTCATTTTGCTGTTACTTGGAATGAAAAGGAAGAACTGAAAATACGAGTTTTTTTGGGGGCCTTTTTTTTATCTGGGCCTTTCGCAGATCTCGGGGACTTATATGCGCGCGGAACATTTGATCGGAATCGGATAACCTCCGAGGATTTTTAAAGCTGCAAATTTTTTTCTCACAGGTTTTCGTCGAAATCGTGATAAAGCTGCGACTTCTGCGATTCTTGATTTGTTGTAATTCGTAACAACGTGAACCGATTTCGATGAAATCTTCGCCATGCATACAAGTTAATCAGAGTCTACGAAAGAGATTTTTTAAATTTTCGTCATAGGATAAAAAAGTTGAACAGCGGGAGAATTTTCTTTTTTTGGACTGACGCTCAAATTGTGCACAAAAATGGGCAATTTGAGAAGAGAAAATACGATTATTAGAGCCTTCTAGCTCGCTTTTTATACTTGTTGACGCTTCGTAACTGTAAAAATGGATCGCAAGACTCGGACAATCGTATCCCCTCTTCCCAAATTGTCCATTTTTTGTGGACAATCTGAGCGTCAATTAGGGAGACTGTAATAGCAAAATTAAAGAAGAAAGCATCCTCGGTCATCGTCTGGCGGACTAGTCCCTCTGTCAACTAAAACAAATTCGAGTCATTTAATTCATTTTTCAAATAGTTATTGCGCTTCAAAAGGTGCGACGAACACTTTTGCGGGCCACTGTATGCGTATATCGTTTCGCGATACCAAAGATACATCTCTCTCTCTCTCTTTCCCTCGATAACATTCCCGTCGAGTAGATAATTAATTCGTCGCTACTCCCGCGCAGTAGTCTAATTTGCCGTATCGCGTTTTTGTATACTTTCGCGGCTGATCGATCTATCAACAATCCGTATCCCCGGGAGCCGCCATGACGTCGACGACGTAAACGACGGAAATGTTCCTCTTCGTTCTTATCTGTTGAACGAGAAACCGTCCGTTGATAAGTACGTCGGCTGCGTTGGCATTTTGTTTTTGTTTTATCTGTTGATATTTGACCGGTGACCCTGGGAAAACGTGGCACTGTTAATTGTGGAGCATTTGGAACTTCAACTCTTTAATTTGAACCCTGAAGGGTGCTGGTCTGTTCCCAATTTTGAAGTAAAATAAAACAAGATTAAATTACTGGGATTCGATAAAATAACGCGACGCGATAAGAAGGTTGCTGTAATCGTTGGGCACCGAACCAAGGTTCGACATTGACCATAGTTTATCGACAAGGAATAAACGCTAGGAAGTTCGACTTGATGCAACAATTACAGTGAAAAATATATTTGCTGATATTGAAAATTATATTAGAAATTGACAAGGAATAAACGCTAGGAAGTTCGACCTGATGCAACAATTACAGTGAAAAATATATTTGCTGATATTGAAAATTATATTAGAAATTGACAAGGAATAAACGCTAGGAAGTTCGATTTGATGCAACAATTATAGTGAGAAAAATATATTTGCTGATATTGAAAATTATATTAGAAATTGTCAAGGAAATTGGATCGTAATGCCATTTTTAGGCTCGAGTGTCTAAAAATAACGGCGTAATTTCATCGTTAAAAGATTGGCGTGCGCGCTGTTTAAGATAAGTGATCGGCACTCTTCGGAGCGCCTGTGTGCACAGAAATGACAATAACTTTTTGAGCCACTCGAGGACGCCCGAGATAATGAATGTTGCACGGCAAGGTCGGCTTGGATATAAAAAAAGAAAATAACGAAGTGCAGGCGTGCGAAGGAAATTACTATTTGCTCGAATAAAGTAGACAGTAATTACTAATATCAAATCAAGTAATTTAATAATTACTTATATCAATGAAATCAATGTTAAAATGTAGCGTCGGTGGAATCACGATTCCACGTTCTTATTTTGAAAGTTCACTTTGCAAATTCGTCAGTTTTGAACGGCGATGCAGTAAAATCTCCTTAATTGTCGCTCGGCTTGTCTCTGTCACGTGTCAGGCTCGTCAAAGTACGCGGCAAAGAGTTAAGGATTAACGTTTCAGTATAATTTTGTCGAATAGCAGTGCCTGTGCCTTTATATTGTTATGTTTTACATTTTATTCAACAAAACAAATACATTGCACGGTAAACAAATTCAGGTTCGACTTTGTCTCCGAAGCACGTATCGCGAGAATTGAAGTTCTTTATCGCCGTGTACGAGCCAACTCCTGACCTGACTCACGTCTAACGATTGCAAATAACTCAAAAAGAAAATCGTTGTTTCTGTACGTTTTGCGTAGATCGTTACGAAACATCGCACATTAAATCCTCTCCCGGCTGTTGATCGAACATCCTGTACAGAAGATATCAACGGCGACGGATCGAAGTATTCGTAACAGCTTTTAAAACGCGTTAACTTTTTTAACTATAATTTTCTTAGTAATTTCTAATTTTCTGCCACGATTCGGAGGCAATTCGGAGGCCACGTGACACGATTCGAAGACAATTCGAAGGCAATTTGAAGGTAATTCGAAACCAATTCGGAGGCCACGTGACACGATTCGAAGGCAATTCGAAGGCAATTCGAAGGTAATTCGAAGGCAATTCGAAGACAATTTGAAGGTAATTCGAAGCTAATTCGGAGGCCACGTGACACGATTCGAAGGCAATTCGAAGGCAATTCGAAGGTAATTCGAAGGCAATTCGAAGACAATTTGAAGGTAATTCGAAGCTAATTCGGAGGCCACGTGACACGATTCGAAGGCAATTCGAAAATAATTCGAAGACAATTCGAAGGCAATTCGAAGACAATTTGAAGGTAATTCGAAGCTAATTCGGAGGCCACGTGACACGATTCGAAGGCAATTCGAAAATAATTCGAAGACAATTCGAAGGCAATTTGAAGGTAATTCGAAACCAATTCGGAGGCCACGTGACACGATTCGAAGGCAATTCGAAGGCAATTCGAAGGTAATTCGAAGGCAATTCGAAGACAATTTGAAGGTAATTCGAAGCTAATTCGGAGGCCACGTGACACGATTCGAAGGCAATTCGAAGGCAATTCGAAGGTAATTCGAAGGCAATTCGAAGACAATTTGAAGGTAATTCGAAGCTAATTCGGAGGCCACGTGACACGATTCGAAGGCAATTCGAAAATAATTCGAAGACAATTCGAAGGCAATTTGAAGGTAATTCGAAGCCAATTCGGAGGCCACGTGACACGATTCGAAGGCAATTCGAAAATAATTCGAAGACAATTCGAAGGCAATTTGAAGGTAATTCGAAACCAATTCGGAGGCCACGTGACACGATTCGAAGACAATTCGAAGGCAATTCGAAGGTAATTCGAAGACAATTCGAAGGTAATTCGAAGGTAATTCGAAGACAATTCGAAGGCAATTCGAAGGCAATTCCGAGGCCACGCGACACGATTCGACGTTTCTCCTATCTGACTCACAACCATTTTGCATTGACTTCCGAGAACTCCATCGGCCTTAGCATCGACGTAGCAATAAATTACATAGGCGTAGCAGTAGCACGGGGAAATTCACAGAACTCCAAAATTTGGCATTTCCGAGAGAAATTACTGCACTTGGCGATAACGATTCACGATGCATTTCACAGATAAAAGAAGCTTTAAACTGCTACACGCATTTCCATAAGATTCTTTCACCTGTCCGATAACAACCGAGTTTTCTTAAGTTCCCAAACAAACTCTCAATTCGTGTAATCCACTTTTCACAAAATTATTCCGTTTTAAAGGCATGTTGTTGTCCGTCATTTCGGGCTGCTATTCATTCTTATTCTAAATGCATAGAGTCGGCGGCACGGTAATCGTGTATGCCGCTGTGACGGTTTCACAGACATGGTAATTTACATGATATCAAACATTGACCTCGACAACGTGTTACGTAATCAATGAGATCGGTGGACGTGCCCTCGACGTCAACTATAGTCGAGCGTAGTTTGATTTATATTTTAACGTAAACGTGTTTGGGCCCCCTCTTTTTTTAAAACGGCAAAAGTTACTCCCGGCCTCTGCGTTGTTTTGCTGGCACACATACCGCGACATTTTTCAAGTAAACAATATTGACCCGATCGTCTCAAGAGGATACATCTACGACGAAAGATGCGTGGAAATGTTTCTTCAAACGCGTTGTTTGAAGAAGATACCGCCGCGAGATATAAGAAACAATATTTATCCGCGGCCGCAGATATCGTCGGAGAAACTGTCAAAATTTGGTTATTGCAAATAATTGCAGATAATTGTAATAGATAATTGCAAGTAATTGTACTAGATAATTGCAAGTAATTGTAATAAATAATTGCAAGTAATTGTAATAGATAATTGCAAGTAATTGTAGTAAATAATTGCAAGTAATTGTAGTAAATACTTGCAAGTAATTGTAATAGATAATTGCAAGTAATTGTAGTAAATAATTGCAAATAATTGTAGTAAATACTTGCAAGTAATTTTAATAAATAATTGCAAGTAATTGTAATAGATAATTGCAAGTAATTGTAGTAAATAATTGCATATAATTGTAATAGATAATTGCAAGTAATTGTAATAGATAATTGCAAGTAATTGTAATAGATAATTGAAAGTAATTGTAATAAATAAT